TGATCTCCCTACCCTTAAAATTTCTGAAGCAGCTTTTTTAAAACTGCAGAATTCATCTACTTTCAGCAGTACATAGAGCTGTATTAATTACACACCAAACACTTACTCAAAGTTAATTAAAAAGAAATCAGAAAAGTCATGGCAGATCCCATTTGAACTGACAGACACAAACTTGCACAACTGCGAGGAAGATTTAGGAGTTATGTGAAGTCACAAGAAAGTTGTTAAGGCATTATTGCTAACAAGATTACCAACTCTTTATGCTGCCAAGACACTTTCTTGGAAGAAAAATGCTGTCTTACACAAAGCAGTACAAATTCTGGGCATTTTCTAAGCCACACCATCACTGCTACCTGAGCCTATATTAAGTAGTTCCTCTTCAGTCTATATAGTCACATGGTACTAAATCTAGCCAAACAAAGGAGAGCAAGCTGATTTTAAAAAGGGCAAGTTTGCCAGTTTTGACTTACATTCACTGTGCACCTCAGTTCTGCAGTCTAGTAAGGATGGCAGCTTCCAAACCCCTCTCCCTGTCACCTTCTAGAAAAACTTTTGTCACCATGCAAAAATTTCCTATCTGGGTTTTCTATCCAAGAGTGAGTCACACAGCGGGACACTAGCACAGGGCACTGCTGTGCCAAGTACCATACAAATGTAAAACAAAATGGTTCCTGCTCTACAGAGTTCACCGTGTGAGGAAGCTTGTTCTGCTCAGTCCTTATATGTCTAACTCCACTGTAATGTCTGCTAGAGCCTTCTTCAAAACTTTTTTTCCAAACAAAAAGCCCCCTCATAACTTTAATCAAAGAATTCTCATATTAAAATCAACTGTCTCTTAACCCTACACCATCTAACCTGTTTCTATTAATGCATAATGCTCTCATTTATGAGTACACTGTTTTGGTTTTTTTGTTACAGTTACCATTTATTTTGAGATTTCACAGGCAAAAACCACATTAACGTATATCCCAGAAATGTAGATAACCACACTCTGTCAAATGTTTAAAAGAAGAAAAAAATAAAATCAAACCATTACTAAATTCCTATCAAGCCAGACACGTTTGTAAAAGAAAAACTGGGTAAGAGTACACTTCATCATAAAAATGACACTTTAAGCAACAAATCACTCACTCATGCCACTCAGCTGACAGAATACTATTTGGGGAATTATTAAAAAAAAAACGGAAAAGCAAGTTCTGATGTTCATGATTTCAGAGAGAAACAAAATAGTATTAATAGTTGAAATGTAAAATGGAAGGAATGATCTTAGATATGTTGTGATTATGACATTCAGTATGATGCTGCCCAGATTCTGACTTCTAATTGCTAGAGGAAACTTAACCCTGTTATGTGTAATTATATAACACACTGCAAGCCCTAGATTAAGCACTGGAATACAGCACAAATACGGCACACATATGCCTGACGATGAAGCTCTTTACTGGAGCAGGATTCAATTTTGCCTTTGCCAATTACTGATTATTCTGAACCTGGTGTTTGAATTCAGACTTCTCCGACGGTACAGAAGTGGGGCTAACATCCCCCCTTCTCTTGCACGCTAATGGCTAAACTGCCTTGGATGGGTGATGCAGTGTGAGCCTCTTAAAACACAGAGGAGATGTGTGAGTAGAGTTGTTTCTAACAGGTAAAGAGCCTTGCTATCAGCTAGGACAAATGTGTCAAGGAGAGTTACTTTCAGTGAGTGACAACATAAAGGGTTAGTTTGCCTATCCTGTGAATTTGTTACACACAAGTGTACTTTAAAGTCTGCCATTCCTGGTTAAATATGCTACTTGTTTTATCAGGTGGGCATGTTCCTGAAACCAGATTTTATTTATTTATCCTCCCAATAGATTTGGCACCAGGAGATCAGCGAGCTGCTATCATTTTTTGCTTTCTGGCAATAACAGAGAGGGTTAATTTAATTTCCAAAAGACAAATACATGGCACTGGTGTAGATCAATGTGTTACTTACATTAAACAGTTTGTGGGGCAGTGGCTCACACTAACTAAGATGGGCTTGTAGTCCGATAAAAAGTGGACAGATATGTCTCAATCTAGACAGGATTTTCTAGTATCCTTTGGAAAATTTTCAATATGTGAGAACCAGTGGTGACCACCAAACATCATGGCAGCACAAAACCAAGTGGTGAAATAGCTAAGAATGCACCCAGTCTACCCACTTCCGCAGTCCATTTTGTTGCTAAACACAAGAGAAGTAAGGCTATATCGAAGAAGTAAAAAATGGCTTTGCAAGATCTAAGCCCTTTAATGTGACCTAGGTCCATTTGCTCTGAATTCCTCTCCTTCCCCACAGACTCAACCTTCTTTCAGCTGAGGATGACTCTAGGGGATTATTTCCAGAGCCCATTAAATGCTGCCCCAAGGATGGCCAAAGGCATTGAAGGACACGACAAAGTTGCCTTTTCAGTGTTTAGGGAAAAAGATGGAATCTGGGATTTTGGCACTAGGCTGCTGAATACTACATCCAGTTTTACTGTTGCTCTCTACATTTAAAGCTGCACTGAACACTTTCTGTGAGACTAATCCATACAGTTCTTCTACTGAACAGTATTTCCTGATATTCATCCTGAGTTTCTTACTTCTCAATTCTAGTCTGTATCTCTAATTATTCCTTCTTCTCCCTTGGTTCCTTCAACTATTTATGTGTTCCTAATTAGGGGAAAAGAGAAAAATCAATCTCTAAGAAAACTGGAACTTACTTAAAGTAAGTATCATGCATACCTAGTTAATTACTTAACAGTTGGCATGAAAGCATCTCACAGTGAGAGAGCAGCAACACTTTGTTCTCCAAGAGCCAAAGCTAGCAGGTACTGTCAGGAAAAAACCTGAATTGACCTTCATGCAATGCATCCCCTCGGTGTACCAGAGGGTATGTAGTAAGGTTTGAGAGAAAAAAAAAGTTCTAATCCTCATTCCATTTCTTTCCATTAAAGGAAAAAACTGTAGCATTTACTTCCCTGTGTAATATTTCTTTCTAAGATCCTTTGCAAATAAGTGCAAAAGAATGCATAACTTTGAAGTGCTGATAATACTGACTACCTAAGCATGACTCAAGTGTAATAATGCAGGTACAACTGAAACATAAGGACAGTTTCTTCACTCCTTGCATGAGGCCGTCCTGAAACAGTGGATTCCTTATCCAGTGGTGACCTTTCTTTCTTACCTCATCAGAAAGCACTGCTAAAGTGTGAGATCCTGACAAAATGCCAGCTCCGGGATGTCACAGCCAAGAGTGTCACCTAGACCCGACAGACTGGGTGCTCTGCTCAGGCAGGTGGTAGAGCATTTCTGTACATGAGGATCACTTCACTGTAAACACAAGTACACTGGACTTTCAGCTCCACAGTACCATCGTATAAGGTGAATATGAGCCAGAGGATTCTAGTAGTCAGTTACTCAGATTATTTCAATCAAGGAAACAGCTTTCTGCAGCACAACATTAAAGCTTTGGGATTCAGGAGGCTCCACCATAGCTCAGAAGCTTTGGTATTTGCTATCTGATGTACTTTGATAGGAGACATGAAACTTGGAGATGCATAATTTCTTCTCACTCTGAGCAACTCCAAGAAAACCCTTGAGATCTTGTTTCCGGTGTGAAGCTGATTAAATTGCAGTCTCCCACCCTCCTGATCCTGTTAGTCCTTTCTACAAAGATGGCATTTCCACCACTCAACTTTTTCTCATGTATATGACAACTTCCCCTATGCTGTACAGTCCTGTCTGGTGAAAATCATCACGTACTCACATATAACATTTTTATGCTACTTCAGCCACATGCCAGACACAATACACCTGATACCATTTCCCTTCCTCCATCTACTTGCTTTGGTATCCTCTTCATGAAGTACTCAGGTACCTTTTTCCCCCTGCATTATCTGAAGGCAGTGTTTCTGACTGCATCCACTTTAGAAGAATCCTCATGTTTCAGTGCTTGGAACACTGCACAAGGATTCACCTGTTGTGGTGAACCAATGTGTGTATTCATTTGGTTCTCATTTAATTACACTGAAAATAGTCTGGATTAAATGAAGAAAGATTCACAAGAAAGAGTGCAGACCCCTGTGTCAAGCTATGATTCTTACTGTGACCATGAAGTTTTTTACTACAATGTGCAGGACAGTGCCATTCTCCAGATAATTAACTCAGTGTTTTATGAAACAAATAGCAAGCAAAGATGTTTTTTTGTATTATCAGTTATCCTCCCTACTTTTGTCCCAAGGAAAATATATTTTGTCTAGAGTCCATACTAATTTTCATACAAAACCAGTCTAGTAGGTTTTGATCATCCAGACTGTGGAATATAAAGAAATCTCTCAACTTGACAACAGTAAGGGTTTTCTCTGAGAACTTTTACTAAACTCTGTAGTATTTTTAAATTGATTAAAAGTCATCATGCCAGTGGGGTTCAAATATTTCAGTGTCTGCAAAGGCACCAGCAGCATCTGTGGTGGGGCTTTAAATACAGTGGAAATGAATTCTCAACTCTGATCTTAACTAGGTAACTTGAAGTTGTAGTAATTTCTGTCTATAACACAACCCCTCTTTGCTTCTATGTTTCTTATTGCAATAAAAAGCCTGAATTATTAAGCACACAGAAGAATTAAATTAGAACTTGTAAAGCAGCAACAATATTATTCCGTTTTCAATGTTCTAAATCCTTAAAGTTCAGCTTAAACAAACGTCATGTACCAGCTCCTTGAACAGCGTTAGCAATGTAAACAACATTTAAAAATGCAAGAAGTTCAACTTTATAAAAATTACATCTGCAGGCTGTTAAAGGAGAATCTGCAAGAAATGTCAAACAATACTGTTCCTTGTGTACTCCACTGAAATAACAAGAAAGTTGCATCTGGAAACACTTACTGGCACAGGACTTAAATAAAGTATTGCACTACCTTTAATGAACTAAATATTATTAATCAAGAGCCAGATATAACAGTGTGCCATCCAGCTGGCTTGTAATTCAATTAATTTACCTTCTTGGGAGATGACAATGGACTTGGATGATTTGATGGCTTTGCTGTCTAGAGTCCAGGTGACAGCTGCAGGGGGATCAGAGGAAATCCGACATTGTAAGACCAATTTTTCACCATCTACTACTTGAGCATCCTGAAGCTTCTCTGTGAAGGAGGGTGCTGTTCCTTTGCTTTCTGGTGGTTTGCTTGCTGCTGCTTTGTTTTCAGCTTTTTTCCCAATTATTCCGCCATCCACCACTGCGCACCCACGTTCACAGTTTCTGTCATTCTTCTCTTCTTTTTTCACTGCTGGTTTAGCAACGGGGGCTTGAGAATTGGGGGTCGCATTCTGGGCTTCAGAATTGGGGCGGGCATTTGGTGCTGGGGTGCCTGCACTGCCATTCTCTGCAGGTGGCTTTTTCTTTGAGCCCAGCACAGATCTGAAATCTGTAATGGCTGGTTTAGGAGGTGGCACCTTCTCTGGCAATGGGGTTTTTGGGGTGCCTTTCTTGGCTAGCACAGAGCGGAAGTCCACCTGTTGAGGAGCATGAACTTTCCTTTCCTCTTCCGACAAGGTCTTGGGCTTGACCTGCCGCTGCAGGTTTGCTCGGAAGTCCATTTGCTCGGCTGGGATTTCTTTCAGTTCCTCCTCAGAAAAACTTTTGGTGCTGACTTTCTTGCCTAAAATGTCACGGAAATCAAGTTGCTCAGCTTCCTGCTGCCTCAGGCTCTCCTCTGTGTGTTCCCGAGTTTCCACTCGCCTCTTCAGCACACCTCGGACGTCCTCCTGCTCTTCCTCAGCTGCTCTGGTTTCACTGCTGTTCTTTTTGAAGCCACTTGTCCTACCAAATGTTAGTTTACCATGATCTCCACCATCTCTTCGCTCTCCAGAGCTGGCTGATTCCCTCCCACTATGATCCGAAACAGAAAAGAAAGAGAGAGCCAGGAAAGGGGCTGGTTTAAAAATGTCAGGGAGCAATCTCAGAGCAGGAACAAAATGTGTTTATAGAAGGGGAGGTTGATTAGAGGAGCACACTCCATTAGTTTATTGCATCAATGATGACTTCAGGAGCCATATAAGGGCACAAACAAAAAAGACCTTCTCTACTCTGGCTTGGTACAATGTGCTTAGCCTGTATGATGAAAACAATTCGTTGGGTCACATTTGGGGATTAGGTTGAACAGCAGCCAGCCTGGGTCTGTAAGGGCAGGGAATTAACAGAGCAAAAAATAGAACCCACCCATGCAAGTCCCTGGGAAAAATACTCACTCTCTGAGCATTTCTGCTCTGGAAGATGAACTCTCCCGCAGCATCAGAGACACCTGGCAGCTGCATTCTCCAACTTGGTTCCTGGAATATTTAAGTGGAATCAGAAAACCAGAGGTTTCTCCCTCCACGACTGTAACTTGCCTGAGCTGAGTGATTGTGCATTGCACTAAAACAGCTCAAACCCAGTGTGGCATCCTCCTTTCCTATGCCCAGTATTGTGGTGATTGACTGGGTGGATTTGGTCCCCTTATATTTGGAGCCAAGTTGTCTCAAATAGCTTTTACTGATCTGTTGCTGTCTACACTGGGAACAAGTACTCCCTGAACAGAAATCAAAGAAATTTACAGAATGAAACAACTGCAAACAAACAAGCTAAAGGAAAACAAATACAAAAGCTGGAAAAGCAAGGCAGAGGAAGGGGCTATTTTGCAAAGTTGAAAATCTTTCCAACTCTGCCTACTGTTTATTTATTCAAACCAAGCTCTTAAGTTTTCTAATGTTAAGATATTAAAAGCAGGGTCTCATTTCCTTCCCTCCCCCCAGGCCCAACCAATCAGCAAAACCCATCTACATGGATTGCTCCAGCCTGTGCATGTTTATATTAAAAAACATAAAAGTGTCACCATATATGGTGCTGAGTACTTATTCTTCCTTTTGCAGAGGAATACCACGGATGCCTTCTGGAAAGGGCTCCCATTAAAGAATTCATTTAAAGTGCTCCCCCCACCCCCGCTGCTCCCTCCCTCCCTCCTGCAGATATATATCATTCTCCTAGCCACAAAAGCTCTTCTCCACTTAACACAGGAGATGCCAAAAGCAAAATTTAACTCCCCCGGGGCAGCAGTTGTGTAACTGTTGCCACCGCTCCCCTGAGCTGCTATTAAAAAACCGGACTTGAATTGATTAGGGACGGGAGATATCTTTCATTAGTGAAAACACTTTTGTCCTACCTAGTTTAAGTACAAGCTTGGAAATGGCCTACAAACTCCTGGATTATTTTTCTTTTTCAAACAAAAAGAATTTTTGCTACTGAAAACATTTCCCGGACATGAACAAAACACATGTGTGGCAGGGGTAGGAAGGAAAGAAAGGCAGGTTTTCCCAGCTGTGTTCTTTCAAAAGACTTGCTTGATAAGAGCACCTTCAACTCCAATTGGCCCTGAAGTTTAAAACAGAGAGTCAGGAGTGCCTTTCTGTTAGTTTGCCAAAAACATATTGTCTGGCCTGTTCTTTTAAATAGTGCATGGAAATATATTCCTAGATATGATTCTTTCTAGGTGAATAAACGCTAATTTCACCTGTTTGCCACTTGCAATGAAATCACACAGTAGGCAAGATCATTAACACAGATGCAGCACTAAGTTATGTTTTTATAATAGCAATTAGTGCCATCACCTTTTCAGATGGATTTTCCATGCTTTCTGTTGCTTTAGAAAATGAAACAGTGGATCTGCCTAACATGAAAATTGGGTCTTTAACACCAAGAAGAAATTGATGGGGTTGACCAAAGTAACTGGATTGCAAAGTAAAGACCCTGCTGACGGGAGCACGTCTAATTTGACCTTAAGACTGTTAACAACAAGAAGCCATAAAGATGTTTTCAACACTTTATATGTCAGAATATGTACCCTAGAAACTGTTATTGAAGGCAATCCATAAGGACAGCACTGAAAGTTACAACCCAAATTTCCTTCAATACAAAAGAGTAGAGAACATCTGAGTACCAAACAGAAACTGTCCAAGTGTCAGGAAAGGATTCAGCTCAATGCAGTGAGCATTTAACTCAGTCCTGCACTGGAGATCGGCCATTCTTACTTCCTCTTATATGTGACCTGCATTTGGAAGCAAGAGAAATAGAAAGAAGGAAAGACAAATGGAAGAATAAATAGGAAGAACTGCATGTCACCTCCTCCCATCATACTGAGTGGCATTAAATGATGGCAGGGTATCAACACTGCTGAAGACCTGATATCTTCAAACAATGCCTTTCAAACTGACCTGTTTTGCCACTATTGAAACTCAAGATTTTTTTTCCCCACTTCTCAGAAACCTTTAAAAAAAGGTCAAGTATTTTCTTATTTACCAGTGCCACAGGGCTGTTAGCAGGCTGTTGGTTTACGCTGAGATCCCTCCTGTGAGTCTCCTAGAGCCCAATTACTCTTCCTTTAGGACTTAAAACCAATCCAAAGCTGGCAAAGAAGGAGAAGCCTTGCAAGCTGAAGTATATACAATTTACAGCATACATCAAACAGGGAGGCACCACTGCTCAGCTTCTGTCATGACTATATGGCAGAAATATTTGCCCACAAGAACTGTGTCACCAGTGGGAGAGGTTGAAGTAGCAGACGGCACTCCCTAGGAGAGAGATCTAGGGATACAGTCCTGAGCATTGTGAAGAATAATAGCATTTCTGCAGGACCCATTTCTATAATGCATCTTTCCCGCTGCAAATTCTTCATATATGCAAAGAAGCAAATAAGGAAGGCAAAGTAAACGTCTCTAAACTATGCTATGTCTCACAGGGCTTGGAAAATAAAGGAGGGGGTAAGAAAGCAGGAGAGCATTTTGTTCTATCTATTTTTAAAACCTTAGGAAGTACTTAAAAATTATGGCAACAGTGGGACATAGAAGTACCAAGATGAAAAATTATTCACAAGGTGTGTTTTTTATCTTAATTATGATTTCTGATTCAAGTGAATAGCTGAAAACTAGACCACTGGATACAAACCTTGAGTCTGTGTCTGATTCATCATATCCCTGTTCAAAAGTGTAGCATTCTCAGGGCAAGTCTGGCTCCCAGTGAGATCAAAGTGAGTTTTGTTACTGATCTTAGGAGCAGAGAGAACAGAATTTTCTCTTCTGAATTCAGCTGCGGAGTCTAAAACAGTGAAGTTAATAACATTGACCCACCTTGGAGATCACAAGATGGAAAAAGAGAAACAAGCCAAGAAAAATTAAGAAGGACTGGATGGTTTAGATGCTAAATTCAATCAAGAATAATTATGGAAACTTTGTAAATATTTTTACATTTACGCAATTTCAGAATCTAGGCAAGATACATGGGGGCTGTTAGAAAAAAATAGAGTTTTGCAGTACACAAGCACAACTTCAAGTCCTTCACGTCTCTGCTGTTTTGAATCTTGGCAACAACAATATTACTTGAGGTTCTCCATGTTGGCATTTTATCCACAAAACCCTAAGACAAAGACAGATCTTAGTGGCTTGGTTACTGTGGAATAATGATAGACATGGATAAAACCTATGTTTAGTAGCTGTGCTGCAAAGAATTGTCTGGAAGTGTTGACTTTTGCAGGATTGTTCTGTAGAATGCCCACGTGCAGGACTTATCTTTAAAATGTCAAGGAATAATAATAATTAAAAAAACCCACCAAAACCAAATAAAACCCCAGCTGCAAAGCCTGAAGCAATTTTAAAAATAGCTCTCTGTCCTATTGTGGGATCAGTTTTCCCTGGAATGGCTTTTGTGTTCAAAATATCTTGAAATACTAGTTTCTTGGCAGAATCTACTCAAATATTTCCACTGAACCTTTGATGAGACTTATTGTCTGCGTGTCCCTAGGAAGCACCCTCTGGAGGAAGAGGGAAAAAAGTGCTGTTAATTATAGTGTGGGGACTCACTGAAAATTCCTCCTGGCCTACCAAGTGTGAAACAAGTATTGCAGAGTAAATTACACTTTCAAAAGAATGAACTGAAAGCAGTGAAGAAATTGATCCCTAGCTATAGCTGGTGCTTCAGTGCAGGTAACTGCAAAGCCTCAGCACAAGGTTTTGCAGTTCTTTTGTGAGTTAGTTAAATGGAGAGAAAGTCCAGACTCCATGAAACTTTAATACCAAAGCAAGCAACTAATCTACTGGGCCACAACTTTAGATGACATAAAGCAGAGCAGCTCTACTGGCTTCAAAGGGGATGCACTGATTTACTTCACTTGAGGGTTTGGCCAAAGGCTTTTTATACCTGAAAGACCAATCACTTTATTTGCATTTTACAGCATTAATTGGGAGAATGGAACAGGAAGAGATCATGGTTTCCTTTCCTAAAAATAGACAATGTGTTGATAGCAGAAAACAAGGTTTGGAAATGGTATTTTACAGAAAGAAAGAAAGAAAGAAAGTTCGGCGTAATGGAATGTAATCTTAAAACTGCTTTTTATATAACCTGAATTGCAGAGTATTTGAGATACCACTGATTTATAAGATGAATGTTTATCTCTGATTTTAATCAGATTATCAAAATCTATAAATAGCATGAATCAACACTAACCAACTTTTATGGAAGACAGATACTCAGCGTCTGAGAAGACAAAGGTTAACAAAGCAAATGATTTGTTTAAGGAACTGCAGGGTGATTCCTGAGGTCTCTCATGTTGACTGTGCTCTTACAAAGATAAAGACTTTGCTCAACAAATGCAGTCTCTGTCCAGTACTCCAAATTTCTTTGCTCACCTATTCATTTCCGATGTGCACACTGACTGAAAGAACTTGAGAAGGTCATACTGGGATAAAAGGATACCAGCGCTTGCATCACTGGAACGATGCAAAGGACAGGAGGAGAAAAAGATGTCTGTGGTTTTCTGAGTCAAAAAAGGATTGTTATTTCCCATCACAATGCTTTCACAGAGACACTGACTGATTTCTTAACCCTCAACTGCATGGGCCAGCATTTTGCAGGCTGTAAAATATTCAGATTTCAATAGATTCAAATTTCAATTTCTCCCACAGTAATGGGTGATTTTTTTTTCTTTTTATATTTATGCAACACCATTCCTTGAAGCCTGAGCAATAACAGGCTCAATGGAACACTATTAGGACAGTTAAAATGAAGAATGCAAATGGAGAGGAATCAGAGGTTGGTGTAGGTTTACAACATGGACCAGGAGAGGCTACAAGGACTACTCTCATAAAAGCCAGATTTAGTAGTCTGCTGTATAGTAAAAGCCAAATCAAACATCAAATCAAAAATATCCTAAATGATGCTGAGGGAGGTAAAGACAGAAAGCCAATGAGCAATAACTGATGGATCACACTAGGATTACGCTGGGCTACACACCCTTGTCAGCTGTCTCCAATGACAGGAGAAAGAACTAGGAAGAGACAAATAGATCTTCTGCTAGACCCAAAGTTTTAAGACCAGAGTTTTAATTTATGAGTACCTAATACAAAAGGAGAATTGTGGAGGTATTAGAACAGAATTTAGAGCTTAAGAATAATGGAGAAGACAATTGGAAAGTAATTAACACTGGTAGGAAATAATGCCCAGACTAAATTAAGGGAGTTGGAGAAGGAATGACTCCCTAAAAGCAGCTATGCAACATGCTTCTAAAATTAATATATGAAAAGAAGCTGCCCATTTTATTTGAAAAGAAAATGATTATGTTTAAAAATAGCCCACTGTCAACTTCTCTATAAACTTTTAAGTGAATTGACTTGTGGTTTCTCAGTTATTTCGTATTTTTAATGGACTTCGTAGGAGTTTTTGAGAGAAAGACACTAAACGCAGCTCTCCTCCTCTCAGGTACTGTTAAGACTGTTTCTGAATGTATAAACAGTTCTCAATCAAGTATCCGAGATGAATGCAGGCTGTTCAAAAGCTATTTAGACAAGATCTTTTGCTGCTGAAAATTATTTTAGCTCTATTGCAAATTTGAAGTTACACAGGTGACATTTGGTTCCATGGATTTCCTGAGTCTGTTATTCATAGTATATAAGCAATCACCTAAAATTGTATGGCTTTCTGTATCCTGAACAGTAACTGAAATTTTACAAATGACAGCAGAATGAAGAGAGGTATCAGCACTCCCCTTGCTCTAATTGCAACATAGCTTTATTCATTATGGATTAGAAAAAGCCAACATAAATGCACTGATCTTTGTGAGATCCCCAGTTATTTCTCTAGTAAAAGGATTAGGGCATAACTGAAACTAGCACGTAATCTGCTCTGTTGTTTTCTAGGTACAACTTTATTTCTTTCCACCCCCCAAAAAATTGTTCTTCTCCACTAATTTTCTGAATGATTCATTCTCTAAGCATACATTCTGTTATGTTCTAGAGTTATGATGTTGTCAGGCTTCCACTTTGACAAATGTCTTCAGTGATGAATTGGGCCTGGGTGATCACCAATTACATTGATCATTAAGCTTGACTTGTTCAGCCACAACAAAGTCTTCCCAAAACCCTCTTGGCTCCCCTTTGTTCTTCCTGTTCTCTTTCCTTCTTCCATCCCTGAAGTGTTGCTGAAATCTCTCATTCTCTTTCAACTCAAGTGAAACCACCAGCACATCATAAGAGAAGTTCCCCGTGTCCAGGGCACACAAACTGAAGTGTGGAAATGTTACCAAGTAGAAAGTAGCAATTCTCACAGTTTGGCCTGCTCTCTCACATAGAGTTTAGTGACCTTAATGAAATTAAACTGGTATTTCTAACCCAGCCAGTGGTAGTCTATGGGAACATACCTTAGGGCTAGACATCTACATAGTGATGTGTCCATCATTTGGGCAACAACTTTACTGCATTTCTGACACTGGCTGGGAAATAAAGTATAAAAAAATTAAGATCACTGTTTAGAGGCTAAATGGGTTAAATTTATTAAGAAATGCCTTCCATCCTTGGGTTAGGAAGACAGAAGTAATTTAGTTGAGAGCAGGCAAAGGACAACTCAGCTTTTGAATTTTGTACTAGACTGAAGTATATAACTTGTTTATAGCTTGAAAAAAAGACAAAAACCCACCTTAAAACAGGCAAGTGCAAGCAGTGCAGAACTGCATTTCTAACACTGTAATACTAGGCAGAATCTGTCTAAACTGCCTACTGGACTAGTCCGTCTGGAGTAAAAAGCCAGCATTTGAAGCAGAGCAGATAAATTTTCTTCCAGTGTAATGGATTCAATGTCCGTGATGGTTAAATAAATTTTAATAAAGAAACTCACAAATGTTAGTGAAGTAAGGTAATACATCTATGCACAGTAAATAGCACAGAATGATAACATCAGTTTGAAGTTGTACAGTAAGTTTTCTGTAACCACATGAGGGATATGTATTTATGCTCAATATTCACCACTGGAGGTGGAAAATGCTGTGGCACTTTCTACAAGGTAAAAACCCAGCAAATCTGATTCTTCATTTAAAGGACAGTTATTTTAACAAAAACAAAAAAGTCAAAACCAGCTCTTCCAAACTTTGTAGGAATTCAAAGGAACAAGGAGTTCAAAGCATCAGGGTGCCTCATTTCAAAGACACATCAGAACAAGGAGACTACAGCTTCCATATGGAATTCAGACATTTCAAATATGGCCAGGAAACACTTTCTCCTCTTAAAGGTATGGATTGTAATCCTGTGGAATGGACCTTTCTGGTCAGGTTGTTCCCATGGAAAGCAGGCATCCTTACAAATATCAAAAGAGATGCCACACATGACAGACAATGGCTCCAAAATTAAGACATCAATTGTGGTTTCCCTTGCTAGATACCCAGATTGCTTCCCATACTGCTGCTTACAAATCTTTGTTTTTCAGGATCCCAAAAGGAAACTCTATATTGCCTTGTCACTCTTTCTAATTTCTCTTGTGTTTGCTCTTTCCTCTTTGAGTTTTTTTAGTTCTTTTCATCCCTCAGAAATATTTAGTTCCTTTAGTACCTTACTGTTCTGTGTGAAAAGGAAGGTACTCTTGTAAGTATTACTAAATGGTCCAAGGGAACAAGCTCTTTTTATGGCAAACATACCTGAGCTGAATTTCATATTGCCCTGCATGACGAGACTGCACATTCCTCAAGATCAGTGTGAAGATGTCTTCATTTTGCAGCATTTCACAGGCTGTTCCCGGCATTATTTCTTGCCCATCTTTAAACCAGTGAACAGTGGGGAAGGGATCTCCAGCAATGGCACAGGATATAAGGACATTTTGCCCAGGAGCTGCTGTCACTGATCTTGGTTTGCTAATGAACCAGGGCTGAATACCATCCTGAGGTTCTGTAGTTTACAAACACAGTTTACAAATCAGGAGAAAATGCCAAGCTTGAACGTAACTAATAAGCTAACTAATTTCAAGGGAAACAATTAGAGACAAGCAAAGTTATTTTGAACATAGACGGTATAAGTTTTTAACCGGAAAAGAAGTCAGGTTTTAAATTTGGTAACAAAATTAATCATTTACTTGCCACTTTACTGGCTTGATCCAGGCTTATGTTAAGAGCAAAACAAAGTGACTTTAAAGCTACCCTAAAAGGAATCTTGAAGATTTGTCCTTAGAGGATACGGGTAGGAACAGCTTTAAGGGCAAGTGATAGTACTACTACTGCTGTGCAGTTGAGAGCTCATGCAGTAAATCATCGTTAACAATTGCATAAAATTGCATTTAATATAGAAGAATGATCCTGACACTAGCTTTCAGGAGAGCTTAGAGAATAGGGAAATGCCTGAATTCAGAGCAGACAGTGACAACAGACTACAGACTCACCCCTGGAGGCACAGATCTTGGAAAACCTGGGGTTAAGATTCTTTACATTAAAAATAATAGAAGTTCCCATTGATTTCCAATAATTTTCAGTAATGACTATGGAAAAATGTTGGCATGCAGTAAGATTAGAGAAAATCCTATGTCATGAAGGTAGTGAATGCTCTGTTACAGGAAGTTCTTAGGTACTTCAATGTACTGTGGGATTTAAATCATACGCAGAGATGGAAAGGCAATTTTTTGCAGTTAGTTCTCAAATGCAGAAATCATGTGTTCGTCACCAGCTACCACTAAAATGCTAATATTAAAGTCAGGATACATGGCTCCCAGACAGCTTTTCCAAATACTCAGGGCTCTAATTAGAAAGAAAAACATCATTAAATGGTTTACATGAAGTCCAGAGCTAAGTAAGCCTTATAGTTATAATCTGAAGCTGCATTTAGCAGAAATTTTGCACTGTCCCTAGGAATAGGCCACAGGAATGCATTTTTGAAATAGTAACATAATGTTCCAGAGTGAAAAGACTTTTTTAAAGCTACTTCTGCTCAATATCCTTTTTAATTCAGATGCTGAGACTGAGAACTCCTAGCATCCTTCACAGCAGACCTTATAAACACTCATGTACTTTAAATAGCCACTCCTCCAGCACATTAGAATTATTTCCTTTCAACATTTTCTAAGGTGGAGAAGAACTTTATACCTTGTACTGTCAATGTAGCCTGGGTTTGAGTTTCTCCTAATTCATTCCAGGCTTCACAGGTGTATTTGCCTGTGTCTTCAGGAAATACTTCCTGGATGTACAGACTGTACTCATTGCCTTTCTTCTCAAAGTGGAAATCTTCTGTCTCCTGGATTTCTTTGCCATTATGCAGCCAGATAATTTCAGGAGGTGGGTTAGCTGAAAAATAGGATACAACAAAAATAAGACACAAAAAGTCCCCATATATTGCTTAAGAAAATGAACAGGGTAGGTTGTTTTCTGCCACCTGATTCTGCAATTTCATCTTCAAAACATTCAGGAATTTCATTAACTCTGTTGATGCTGTGTAACGTGGAATAGTTCTAAATCCTTCTTACTACAGTTAAAATACCAATGAGTAAGGGAAGCATGTATACAACAGAGAGAGAGAATGAGTTCTAGATCTCATGAAAGTGGTTATCAAGAGTTTCTATTACCAAAGCTCATGCCAGGACTGCTCTTTCCTGCAGCACTAATCTTACACCAGCTGTCAAGTTGGTGTGCAACAAAACTATTACAAGTCTGCTGAGATGTAGTTTTAGTTTAACAGGAAGACCTAAGAATAACCTGATTATTATTATTATTTCAATAAAGAAACACTTGTACAGGTTTGAACACATTAACGCTGGAAAATATTTATTCACCCTGAAGACCAGATTAGACAAAGCTTTCACTTTTAAAAAATTGAGGTTTTTAAAATATTATTTTCAAATATAAAGACAACTGCTAAAAGAACAATGGGAAAAAGCACATTGTAGCAGGACTTAAAATTTGTAAATAATACTGTACTATAGCTACGCACCTGATACCTCCACAGTCATTATCACTTGACTTCCATCCATCACTTTGAGGTCACTCAGGCCTTTAAGGAAGATGGGTGCAAAAGTCTTGTTTAACTTAGCAGCCTGTGCACTTTTTTCTGCCTTCTTGCTGCTTTTCTTTTCTGGGAAGTCAAAAGGAGAACAAAAGGGGTCTCTTAGTGGAATTTTCAGGATGAATTTTAACTGACCTTGGGTTCAAACTGATTTCAAGTCAGTGGTCTTGTTTCAGCTCTCAGAAGGAAAAAAGTCACTGAAACCACCCAATATAGTTGTTTTGTGTTGCCAGTAGTCCAAGCAGAAAGGCAAGAAATGGGAATGGAACTGTCCTTCATCTAGAGATCCTCCTAAATCAGTATTAACAAATATCATAAACTATCACACAGAAATTTACACTCATTTTCCCAGAGTTTACAAGCTCAGGTGCAAAAAAAACCAACCCCAAAACAACAACTTGTAACAAACAATACAATGCTTTTAGTCACTTCTAAGTTCACATAAAAAACTTAAGATATGTTACAAATTGCCGTTCTCATGATTGATGAGTTAAAAATGTGAATTCATAGGAATATAGGATTCACCACTCTGTATGAAACCACAGTCCATTTAGATTGTTAGGCAGTCAATATCAAATGGGTTTCAATTCACCATACTCCTCTTCTGTATTACACTTAGCCAACTGGTTGATGATGGGAAAGACTGAAACCTGAAGTTATCAATAGATATCACAAAACAAACAGCTGTATCAGGGCTTTTTCTTTTTCTTTTTTTTTCCTGTACAATCACATGATGAGTGCTGGAGTTAAATTAATCACTCTTAAAAATAAAATCTAGCAGTGATACATATGTAATTTTCAGTATCCACAATGGTCTCCTCTGTCTTAGATTCAGAAGCTACAAAGTAAAATCATTTAACTGTGACCTATATGGTATGCTACACCAGGAAAGAAGACCTGAGCAAAGACACATTTGAAGCCAAAGTAGTGATCATGACCAAATGTAAGAAGTCATAAATATTTATTGGTCACTTGGATACACTTTTTGTTTTGTTTAGCTTGAGTGCAGACCTCTTACGTCTTGCCTTTAAAATGCCAACCCTACTTCTGAATTCCATACATGAAAATAGCCTCATTTTGCTTATTTCTACTTTTGAAATTTTCAAAGGTATATCAAAATAATCCAAAATAGTATTAAAGCAACACACAGTGTCAGTCTGGAAAAAAACCACGATTCATAACAGTATGGTGGTTAGAAAAGCTGAAAGCACTTCACTGAGAAAGTCCACTGAACCTCCTGCAGGCAAAAACTTAAGCTGATTCCAAGGTTATTTGAGCTCAATGTAAATTTGGAAGCTGCCTGGAGAGGAAGTTTTTCGTCTTCTCTAGCAAAGCTTTTTCTAGCCAAAATCTTGTCTTGCTGACTTATGTCATAGGTCTTTTCTTGGCACTTAGCAGTGAGACATTGATGCATGTGAGAATGGAAATATGGGACGTGACTGAGACCCACTCAGCTCGGTGTTATAGACTTACTACTCTGAAATGCCTGATTCACCATCAGGCCACACTGAACAGTTTTAGGGCTTTCTGCAGCACCTGCTTGTAAGCGACTAATGTAGTACAGAAAATAGCCATGAAGTTTGGTCAAACCCATCTGCAGTAATAAACTCCTGTGGTTCACCATATTCCTCTGTTTACTCAGGGAGAAAGCTTCAAACAACTGCTGTACTGAGCAATATCAGCACATGCTCCTTCACTACTCTAATGCCTTGCAGAAAATCCATCTATCTCAAACTGAAACAGACCTGGGAGGGAAAGCAGAAATCCATATAGTGGGAAAAAGGTGGATAAGAAGCAGCAGAAAGGAGAAAAAGTAAAAAACAAGGAAGTAATTGGATGCAAAAGAGTCATAGAAAAAAAAAGAAAGAAAAAGACATTTAAATGATAATGTCTCTGTTACACCTTTTATTGAAATAATTCATAACATTGCAAATCAACAAGGCAGACATATAATAAAAGGAGAGCTGGAAAAGGAAAATAAAAGCAGAGATGTGATTCTAGACCAACAGAGAAAAAGACTTGGGGTATTAACAGGGAACTTCAAACCTTCAGAGAAGGACAGATAACAAAAAAAGAGCTGAAACACCTCCCATGAGAAAGATAACAGTAAGCAGGAAACAAATTGGCTAGTAGTGGCTCTAACAGCAATTCTCCCAGAACAAACCAAGCTGAGCCCTGCTACAAACAGCATTAAGTACCAGCAGCACTCCACATCCCTCACGACTGGCTCTTTGCTTTATTAGACTGACATGCCTGTTCCTTGGATGGAATAAATAAATGGATTTCTGTAATCAAGGAAGACAACACAGTGTAAAAGCCTCAGCTTATTAAAAAGAAATGGGTGAGCAACTACCAAAGGAATAGATAGAGCAAAATAATTTCCAAAAAGGAATTTTTCCAGCAATGCTACTTCCTCCAAAATATGCGCTACAGAAATAAGTTTCATGTACTGGAATAAAACCACTTTCTTGCACAGAGATGCATAAACATTAAAAGGAAGCAAGCAAATCTTTTATGGTAACTGCATATACAAATCACAAACCCAACAAGACTACAAAAAAGTCAGGCCTCAGTTTCTGAAGTTATCTCAGGTAGATGGACCCTATGCTGGTGTGGAGACCAACCAATATGAGTGACATTAAGAAGATTTACTGGGGGTGTAGGCTTCTACCCCTAAACGAGTGACCTGCAGGACTAAAGGATGGAGAACAACTTGCCATTGTTACCCATCAGTGCTCATTATCTGTAAGGGAAGCTGTCAAATTGAATGAAGGGAGCCAGAGCCTGCCTCAGCATAGCACAAATCTTAAAAATAGCTTTTACTGAATGTAAGCGCTACATAGGTTTATGCTCATCTCTTGTATGAAGACCAGTTCTGTGCTTAAACAGAAAATTATTATGGTAAGTATCAAAAACTAGAAGTCTATGATATATGAGTAATAGAAAACTTATTTAGTCTTAGTCTAAAATCATTGCATTTTCCCAGAAGGGACTGATACGATCACGCAGAGGCCAAATTACAAAACCTGAATGTTAACTATTTTCAAATTTCTGTAGCTTGTAAATGTTTTTAGTTGTTTATTACATAGCACCATGCAGTGACTCAGTGCTCCTCTGATGAAGGCTTTAACATTTCACAATTTTACTATGAGATGGCAGTGCTTATTTTCACAGCTTATTTTAGTATACCTAAGGGCTTCTTCAATTTTAGCCTTTACAGCTCTTGTTTGGAAAAACAGCAATGAATTTGATTTTGGGGGGTACTTGGGAAAAGAAGGAACACTGCTAATTCAAGATTAAGCAAATAACTCCTGTTCCCATTTATGGGGAAAAGCTACGGAGTGATTCTACTTCCTTGTGAAAACACTTGGCTGAATACTTTACCAGGAAAGTGGTACAAAGAAAACTGTACACAAAAACACAGGCGCTGTTTGCAAAAGGGTAGCTTCAGAAAGTGTAACAACTGTGAAGTCCCCATTCCCTGGCCACAGCTAGGTGCTAGTTAGTCTCGCACATCAGGAATAAAAGCCATGACTTGCATCAGTAGAATGGAGGGCACGGGGATAAGAAAAACTGGGCACAAATAAGCAAGCTGCATACAACGAAAGGTCAGTACTGGGGCTTGCTTTCCTTTGTTCCTCCAAAGTCCCTTTCACTACATGAATTCTGCTGAGGTTCAAAATTCATCTGCTCCTCAGTGACAGGGGGCTTTTGAGACCAAAGCAGGGGGAAGGAAAAGAAAGAAGAAAGCACAGGTACAGCCCCAAGCTCAGAGATGCTGCAGGTCACTATGCTTCTGGCTGAAACAACCTCTTTCGTAACACTGAAGGGTAGTTTTGCTGCCAAAACTACCAACAATAAAAATATGGCACATCTTACATCAGGAAGTAAATCTGGAACGTAACAAAAATTTTGTCTGACGTTACTATAAGGGCATGACTTTGTTATGTATCTACACATCCTCAATCTTAATCAACTGGATGTGAAATAGAGGAGATCTGATCTCTTCCTATTGTGTTAATGCGCTCTAATTGCCTACAGCCATTTAACACCCCCCCCTTCTCATTACTTCTCATTACTTTCAATTAGGAGTAGGTTTACCTCTAAGAATGAAAAGAAGGAATACAAGAGTTACAACATAGAAGTACTTCCACAGTGACTAAAAAAAAATCTACCCCGGGCAGTTATTCTTCATCTCCTTCTCAGTCAACTTCTGCTGCTGAGGTGACCAGGTGCTGCTGGTGTTCCCCCCATGTCACAGCAATTCATGAGGAATACTCCAAAGCAACACATACGGTGGGCTTGATAAAACACAGGTACATTTCAATGACTTATTCTCAGACCATGCAACTAGTTTATTTTACAGTAGCTCACAAAAGCTGCCACAATTTTTAACCACAGCTGTTGGTTTTGTGTGAGTCAAATAATGCAAGATAATACAGAAGTTACTTTGAATTCTCAAAAGCTGCTTATAGAGCACTGAATTCTCAAAGGCTCTTATAAAATTAAGAGCTCACGAAGTTTAACAGTTTTTGCACAAAGCGGTGGTCTGGTGTAAATACGTAAGTCCAGCTGGGGCATTCTCTGGTGAGCAGTGGTGTCTCTGTCATTTCAACAGGATTTTGATAATCATGGGGTGATAGATTTAAAAATCCACCAGTGATCCCACTTCCTATGTTTTTTTGCCTTTCCTCAGGCTTTAATATGCATGAATGTTGGGGAAAAAGCAAGTAATAAGATCCACAGCTCAGTGGGAAACACAGCCTGGGAGACCAGAAATAGTAAGCAAAGCATTTAAAGGATACCTTATATACTCACATATGTTTTCTACAAAGAAAAGTAACACAGGCTTTTCTCACAGCATTGCCTTACTCCTAAAGGTTCATTTTTTATTAGAAATACACTCTAATAGGCTTCGAAATCTATGTTTAAAAGAGCCACTTAGTGCATTAAATCCACAGAGATTAAGAAGAATTCAAACTCTTCCGGTTTCTTACAAAAATACAAATTCTCAGCAAATTTAGATGGCAATGGGAAGAGATACATTGCCTCTGATACACAACTCTGTT